GTGACTTTATGAGATGAATAACTTTATTCTTTATTATATAAATTTTTGTTCAACGGTAGCGTGATTGAACATTGTTAAATGCCCAAGAATATTTATGAATATTTATTTTGTGTGTCCATGTTCATCATCTATTGAGATATTGGTAAGATAATAAAAATATAAATAAAAGCCAAATCTTTTGCAAAAAAAGACAAATCGAGAACACATCGAAAATAAAAATCTAAGACTTTTTGTCACCGTGAAAGAACTGTGTTCAATAAAGACAAAAATGCTTGTGTAGTCACATCAACACTTTTTTTCTTTTTCCCCTATTTAAAATATATTTTGTCAAACATTTTTTTTTTTTAAAGTTGTTAAAAATTTAAAATTTTATTTGCAAAAAAACCTTTTAAAACTGGAATGAAAACTACCCAAAAATTTAGAAAATTATTATTTTTAGTTAGCACATTAGGTAAATCATATAATATTGAATAGAAAAAATTTGAAAAATTTTGGGTAAAAAATTATGGAAACCCAAAATTTTTCCAAATTTGAAAAAAATTTACCCAGATTAAAAACCCAAAAATGTTTCCTCTTGTTTCCTCTGGGTTTTAAAAAGTTTAAAAAAAAGCGTAAAAAAAATTATCTGAATCATAAAGAACAATTGATAATATCTGTTGAAGGTGTATTTTGATACCATAATATGTACATACAGTTTACCAGAAAAAGAAACATATACTAATCAAACAATAACAAATAATATTATATTTACAAAACCCGTTTGTTTAGTATTTCTACACATGGACAGAAACGTTCGCTGTTTTTATATGTTAAAACGGGCATGATGATGCTCTGTGTATCATATATGTATAGAAAATTGTATATATCGGCAAATATTATTACTGAAAATGTCAGATATTTCAGCCTAATTTATTATCATTTATTATATTGTCACATTACCGAATTCAAGCAGATTTGAATAACACACATTCTGGAAAGTGAAGATCCCTCAAACGAAATCAATAAAATAAAGCTTATATTGTTCAAGTAACAAAATTACATTATCAAGCGCAATATTCAAAATTATGCAGCTTAGACAAAATCTAATAACGAAATAAACTAAAGTTTTATCTTAAATACATATCAAAAGATAGATTTAATTAAAAATAAATAAATTTTCTTGAACTGTTTAACTTTTTAGCAATTGCCCCATCCCAGTCATTCTTGTAATATATTGTTATTCATCAATAATGAGACAAACTGGCTGATACATCCATAGAATGAGATGACTTATTTAATTGACTTCGAGAAAACTGAAGTCGTATTTTTAATGGTTATCGAGATATTCAAAATAGGCTGGAATTAAACACAAATGGGTAATTTGTTTGCCCTTACAGAATGAACAGCATTCTAAATTAGTCTCGTTATTGTCTTCGCAGCTTGTTTTCATTGTTAAGTTTAGCGTGCCGTGGTACCAAATGATTACATGCAATTTGCTTTACATATCTACCAGTCTTGATGAAGGTTTTTGGATCAATCTTTTTACGCCGTTGTTTAAGTTACCTTCTTTTATGGACATGTTTATCGGCCCAATTACTTTTATTTAAGGATATTTAATAATTGATGTTTATGTCAAAGGCAAACATACTTAATACATGTAATAGTATTTCAGACAAATGTGTTCGCTTTACTGATTACAGCAGTCTACGAATCTGTTAGCTCCAGCAGGTAAGTTGGTTTTGACCAATTATGTTTCTTAACAATCAATTGCGTCCATTTTCGTACTTTTTTATTAAAAAAAAATATTTAGGCTCTAATCTTATCTTATTCAATCAAATAAATATCTTTGTCCTAATAATTATCTATAACTTAATGATAAAAACAAAATATCATGAAATTGTAAAATTGTTGAATAACAAAATGAGTTATATTTTGTTACTGTAATTGTCAACTTTTATTTGCTTACTTGAAGTGACATGAAGTTAATATTTGGGCCTCACGAATACATTATGAAAACTGCAATTTAAGCCAAACACCAGATGACATTTTTATTTCATTTTATAAAGTTAAGGAAATCATATAAGATTTTGTTTTACCTGAATGCATTCTAAATAAAATATATCAACTGAAATATTGTCACTGAATTGGCATTGCAATTTATAAAATGTTATTGTTGAACCTTCGTTTTTAATTGGAGATTCAACATTGCAAAAGGAGCATTTAAATGCTCTTAAGTTTGTTTTTGACTTTATCGTTCTAACAAACCTTCTTCCTTCTGTGTCGATTTGACAGTTTGATTAGTAAATAAAACAAATAATGACCTTTCAATCATTGATGCAAGTGGCATTACAATTATGGTAAGTTGAACGAGAAATGAACATGTTCAATTCTAAAACAGATATGTATTGATGGAAATAAAATTCAAAGTAAAATAGGTGAGAGCTCAGCTGCTTTTACCAAAGGTTGTCAAAGTTATCGAAAATGGCGATAAATTAAGCGCTTAAAAATGCTTTGTAGAATTTACTATCATTTTGCCCATTTACATTTCTTGTCAAACTCAGCGGGTGTTATATTGTTTAAAACAGGTAGACAAGCCATAATAATGAGTACAAGATTAATTTCAAATTCAAGTGTTCAGTATAATCTTAGCGTTTTACCGGCTCGCTGTGGCAGGCAGGCATACACGTTTATTTTCTGGCCTTAATGAGTTTCAGAATTTTACAGCACTACTTAAGGTTGAATAATACAACATATTTCAGCAAATATGTTCCACTTTGCACTAATATAAAAATTGTTTTTACAATTTTAGAAACATATCAATAGTTCAAAATTAATTCAACCAGGTTTCAAACTATTGTATAATTATACTAACGGCTATCAACGGCCAAATCGTACTTTTGTTTTTTTTGTGTGTGAACGATTGCTATAACAAATGTCAAATGCATTCCAAGACTGCGGTTTAAAATAATATATTCTAAGCAATGGTAAAATAAAAAGTTCAGGTTCAATTATGCTACTAACGATAATGGAAGGAGATTTGTCAAACTTCTTTCTTTTGCAATGCATTATAGTCAGTCTGCTTGTCAATGAGTGGAAATTACCAGATGTTTGTTGTTGTGGACTACATGTACGAGGGATTTCCGGAAAGTTCATATACTTCTTCATTTTTTATTTTATGTAGCGAATTTTCAACACCATTGAACTATATTGAAATAATACAAACACTTTAAATCCATTTTTATCACTTTTAATTTTTCCTTTTCAAAACTCCAACATTCACAATTTAGTAATTCCAATTCTTTTCACATCCACTTTTGCAACCACTCTTTTTTTACTATAACAACTGGCTATAACACAATTACATCAATATATATAGTAGCTAAATTTTAGCGCCAAAAGAACTTAATAATTACAAGGAAAGCATGATAATCGTGAACATTTGTGAACATGTGATATTTTCCCACCAAAATTAAATAAGGAGCAAAACGGAGTTAAGGTTTTATAGATGATATTACATAAGCAGAAATACTCAATAAAAAACACGTGAAATATGAGAACTTATAGTAAGTTACATGAAATAAACATGTTAGATTCGCGCCAAACTTATGAAAGGTGATAAACTAAATTTAACAAAAGAACATCGCTAGATATTAGCGACACTCCGGCCAGAATGTTCATAAAACAGCAATAATGTTTACTTTCACTTTGAAGTTGTAACCCATCTATCTGTAGTTCAATATTCCTCCGAATGGATTAATACGTCACCCCTGAAGGTATATTTCTTTTCAAAATATATAGCAGCATGATCTGTCACATAATGGATGTCTTCATCAATATGACTTACGGCTAATTTACTGTAATCAATACTCGTGCCAGTAAAAATGATATCATCTGACTCATCATTAGATATGTCACTGAAGTATTGGTTATCATGATCAGATGGTGTCACAGCACAACAATTACCATCAGGAATAGAAATACTATCATCATAATAAATCATGTCGTTTGCATTGCTTTCGTTGGTTTGAACATTTGAATCAAAGTCAACATAATTCTCTCTTTCTTCCGGTTCTTCAACACTATTCTTATCGTTTGTAGAGCTTAAATCTGTCATTTTATTTTCAATATCACCATTTCCACATTCATTATCGTAAATATCATCTATTATGTCAATTTCTAATAAATCCATTTCTTCCTCTTCAGCTAACAAATCCATTATTGTATCATCATCACTGACATCAGAATAATAAGTAGCATCGCTTTTATCCCCTCTCTTGGCTTCAATTGCAATTGTTCTTGCTTTATATTTTTCAATTTTATGTACCTTGTAAAGATGGTCAAATAGATATCCTCTACGAATAAACTTCGCTTTGCATTTATCCATTACACATTGATAATGTAATAGCTGCGAACTGTGTTTCTCATCTTTATGTCTTTTAAGATTACGATTATACTTATAAGACTTGTCACACAAATTGCACTGAAATTTTCCCATCTTTACGTTTCAACAAAACTGAATGAAATGACCAATTTCAAACCACGCTCTATTTTGCACGAGAAAGTCATGAGTAGTTTATCACTTTACTTTGCTCCGGTATAAAAATGAGCGGGAAATGTGCACGGAGAAATCGTGACATTTTTTACACTATAATATGCTCCGGTTGAAGAATGCGCGGGAAATATGCATGTTAAAATTAAACTGTAATTCTACCGTCGTGTATTGCTCCGGTTTACAAAACGTCTAAATATTTGTAAAGGATCTATCGTGATGTAGATTTTAATTAGAATTTTCACTTTTAGATAAACCTTTCAATCTTTGTTTAGCAATTTCAGCAGCTTTTCTGTATGGTCGATGAACAACTTGTGATTCCCTTCTGTCAGTGCTTTTCAAAGTTCATGATTTTCAACGTTTAAGTCTTCACTTGTTTCTAGAGGATATAGTAAATTTAATGGTCTTCCAATTACTATTTTTGAGGGTAATATAATTTTAGCAGACCTTATATTACCATCGCGACTTGTAACTAATTGAACAATTCGACCAACTTTCCAGCTGCCCCGAGGTACAGTGTCCTTAATTTGAACAACATCTCCAACTTTTGGCGAAGATTTCGACATAACTCTCCCAGCTTTGATTGTTGTTTGGCTTCTTTCACGAAGACTAAATATTCATCTCGCCATATTTTCCAAAAGTCATCTAAAGTTTTCTGTCTTTTTTTCCATAACTTTAGTAAACGTTCGCTTGAACTTTCACGTTGTTCATAATTCTCATCGTTTATGTCAATGATATTTTCTGGAACTCCTGTTTTTGGATTTATTGTTAGGAAATGACTAGGAGAAATTGTTATATTTGAGTCTAAATCATTTTCCACGTATACTAACGGTCTAGAATTTACAGTTGCTTCTATTTCTTTGACGAGGGTTTGTATCTGTATTAAAGTTAGCAGTCTTCGACCTAACGATTTACGGAGAGCACGCTTGACTAGACCAACGAGGCGTTTGTAAAACCCTCCCATCCAGGGAGCTAATCTACAATGAAATGCCAATTTATACCTAAAGATGAAACATAAGATTGTACATCTTCACACTTGGTAATATTATTCCAGGCTTCATGAATCACTTTACTCGCTAATTTAAACTGTGTAGCATTGTCACTTACAACTTCACAGGGAGTACCTCGTTGAGCAATAAAACGTTTAAATGCTAACAAAAACTCTTCTGAGGTCATATCTTGAACAGTTTCCAAATGAATTGCTCTTGTTATCATACATGAAAATATGCAAATCCACACTTTTTTCAGTTCTTCATTGTATTTGATATTTAGAGGTCCTAAATAATCTAATCCTATTCTCGAAAAAGCTGGTGACACTTGAACTCGAGATGGTGGTAATGGAGCCATAGGAGGCATTTTATATGGACCACCTTCGTGTTTCTTGCAGATTGCACACTTACGTAATGTCGATTTAACAATAGATCTTCCATGCGTAATCCAGTACTTCTGACGAGTTTTAGCCAATGTATGAGAAACGCCAAAATGCATGCATTCTTTATGTGCTTTTTCTATTATGAGCTCCGTCAATCTATCGGACTTGGGTAGTAGTATTGGTCGTCTAGCTCCTTGCAGTAAATCGGAGTTATCGAGTCGTCCAATACAACGCATAACTCCCTTATCATCAATGTATAAGCCTAACTGTTTCTGTAACGCACTTGGCCTTTTACTTTCTACTGCAACAAAGTCTTTCATGTAGTGTTTTCGTTGAACAAATTTTATCCATCTTGTTTCAGCTTCTTGAAGTTCTTCATTGATTAAGTGATCATTTTCGCATTCTATCCTTTTTAGTTTTTTGATAAAACGCTGAACTAAAGCTGTAACACGAAACAGCATGGTAACAGAAGAATATCTTTTATAATCCATTCCGAAAGGAGGAACTGGCTCTGTATAAACACACTCTACTACTTTAACACTTAACTCTTCTACTGTTTGATCTTTAACTTCTTTCACCGGAGCAACTGAAGTATTCATATTTGTTTCGGATTTAATTGGCCAAGTTTTTAATTTGTCTTTTACCCAAGTCGGACCATTCCACCAGAGAAGATTTTCTCTTTAATTGTCTTGTTGTTATTCCTCTCGTTGCAACATCTGCAGGATTCTCCTTTGTGTTGACATAACCGATTTTTATATTTGTGTAACCTTTAATCTCATTTACTCTGTTTTTAACAAAAGTCGGCAAATCTTTGACACTGTTTATCCAGTGTATTACAATTTCAGAGTCGGTCCACAAAAACATATTCTCAATGTTTAGCTGAAGTTGTTCTTTCACGAACCTCAAACATCTTACCCCGACTAAGACAGCCATCAATTCTAATTTTGGTACAGTCATTACTTTGACCGGAGCAAGGCGGGTTTTTGCAAATATCAGATCTGTTTTAGACAACTCTTTTTCTTCTTGGTGTAAGTAAATTGATGTTGCATATGATTTTGTGGAAGCATCACAAAAACATAATAGATTAAATGTTTTGACTTTGACATTGGTCTTTACGTTTCTAGGTAACTTGTGTTCCGTTATATCTAACAGGTCTTGAGAAATTGATAACCATCTCTGTCTTATTTGCTCATCATTTACCACGTCATCCCAATCAAGTCCTCTGCTCCACAATTCCTGAAGTAATATCTTTCCACGAAGTACAACAGGAGAGAATAAGCCCATAGGGTCAAACACAGAAGCGACTCTCTTCAATATGTTTCGCTTAGTGAGTGGTAAACTGTCATCCGAAATTTTGCTTTGTTTTAAATATATCGTATCTGTTTTATAGTCCCATATGTGACCTAGAACTTGCATTTCTTTCATTTCAGCTCTGTCAGTTATCGGAATAACATTGTTGACGTTTTCACTATTAGTTAGCCACTCTCGTAAATTCATAGCTGCATCAGAAAACATCTTCTTTGACGTCTGATATAGCATAATTGCTTCTTCGTCACTATTTACTCCGGTGATAATATTATCTACGTATATATCTTTCTTTAACATTTCAGCTACATTTGTACCGTAACAATCAAGATGTGTTTCTATTGTTGCGCTCAATAAAAACGGGCTTGATATGATCCCGAAGGGAACACGACAAAAACGGTACACTTGAAGATTCTCAGGATTCAAAGTTGAACACTTTGTATCTTTCACCCACAAAAACCTTGTGACATCTCTTTCACATTGTTGTAAGCCGATCTGTAGAAATGCTTTCTCAATATCAGACACTATTGCAACTGGATGAAGACGGAATCTCATCAAAAGTCCACAAAGGTCATGAAGTAGGACTGGTCCTCTGAATAAGCATTCGTTTAAACTTTTGTTTTCATTTGAAGTTTTAGCAGAAGCATCGTAAACGACTCTGATTTTTGTAGTATTTTTTTGAGGCGTTATAACTGCATGGTGTGGAATATAGTGGACTAATCCGTCTGACAGTGAATCGTTGACTTTCTCAATAACACCCTTTTTGAGCTGATCCTGAATAATGGAATCGTATTTTTCTAAAATTTCAGGTTTATTTCTCATCTTCTTAAGACACGATTTCAATCTCCCATATGCTAGTTCTCTGTTAGCAGGTAGGTTAGGAGAAAGTTCTTTCCAGGGCCAAGTTACCTGATATCTCCCGTTTTCAAATCTCACAGTGCTTTTGAATTTTTCCATAGCATATTTGTCATCAATTGCAATATCTTTATTATTTACACCTATGGATTCAATTTTCCAGAAATCTTCCAGGTTATGTCGGGGCTCTTTAAGTGTGTCAACACTTTGGAATACACTAGTTTTTGTAGTGTTGCTACCATATGTTTGAACCAGAAAGTTCGGAACAGTATCATGTTTATCATCACTATTTGTTCTTCCGGTCAGAATCCAACCAAGTTTGGATCCTAAGAGGTACAACCCCGGTAAAAGTTCAATTTTCTGTGGCAACAATAAGTCAAGATAATAATCATTTCCAATTAATAGTTCTATGGTCGTTGACTCCTTTTCAAGTGGTAGACTATCTGCTAAATCCAAACTTGTTATTAAATCTCCGATTTGTTCCATTGTTGACACATCAATATTTTTGCGTTGAACATTTCCACTTATAACGGGCACGATATTTGCGCTAATCTGTAGAGATTTTCCACTGTTTAGTTTTAGGTCCAGTTTCGTCACTGGCGTTTTTATCACCCTTGCGTGTGTACTTCCAAATGTTAACACTTTAAGCTCTTCTACACCCTCTTGTTTTAGTCCTAATTTGTTTACAAGTCTCTGAGTAATGTAAGTACGCTGAGAACCACAATCAAGCAGGATTCTTGTATTAGCTGTTGATGACGTATCTGGATTTTTAACAGTCGAACTAGCTGTTTGCATGAACACTGTTTCTCCATGGGATACCATAACATTCTCTTCAATTATTTCTTTCTGGAAGGCGTCATCTTCCTGCTCTTTTGTAAAATGAACCTGTGTTTCATTCTTTGTAAGATTCTTTGTAAATCGTTTTGGACATAAACTTCTATGGTGTTTGTTAAACTCTTTGCAGTATACACAGGCACGATTTGATACACACTCATTTACATAATGACCCTCTTTGAGGCAACGATAGCAACACCCTTTAAGTCTTTGTTTTCTTTCATCTACAGTTTTATAGATTGTACATTCGTCACTCCAATGTTTCTTTTTACAAAAGTGACATATGGGTATACTAGGTTTGTTTAGTTGATTGTTCTTATCTTGTTTTTCATTCATTAGTAATGATTCTGCTGAACTTCGTGACTTGAAAGGTGCTCCGGTAGGACGTTCATATCCCCTCGTTGCCTTTGGAAGGTTATCACTATTTCTTGTTACTCCAATGTTATATATTTCCCCTGTAATCCCTTTATTTAGAGAGAATGGTTGATTAACTTTAGGCTCTGAATAAACATGTTTTCTTCGTTCAGCCTTTTCACACGCAAATATATAATCTCTCAAGTGACACCGGAGTAAATTAACAGTCCATTCATTTTTTGCACCTTTGTTGAATTCTAACTGTCGTAAGATATCTTCTGATAATTTACCACTTATCATTGACACAAAAATGTGCTGATCAATATTCTCACCTAACACTTCTAAAGCACGAAGGTGTCTTTCTATTGAGTCCAAGAACATTCTTAAGCTAGTAATTCTCGTTGTGGGTGGTCGTAGATTCAATATCTCATTGTAGTGCAAATCCACGATTTCCTGTTTATTCCCAAATCTTTCTCGAAGAATTTTAACGGCAACCGCATAATTATCATTTGTACAAGCTAGACCAGCAACGGCACGCTTTGCTTCTGCGCCAAGTTTACTTTGAAGATAATTAAACTTTTCAATATTTGATAATTTATAATTTTTGTGTACTGTACACTCAAATGCATCCCAGAATTTACACCAGCGTATTTTGTGTCCATAGAACATAATTATTCAACTCTAGTTTTGGTAGTTTCACAGCTGAATGGTTTACGTTTTCCTTTTTGTCAATATATGTAAAGAATTCATGTTGTGTTTCCATCTGTGACTGTAACATCCTTTGCATCTTTTCCTGAACATTTACCAACCTATCAGTATCCGTAACAGAACTAACTTCTGTTTCTTCACCTTTTAACATGGATGATTCAATTTTTTCTTTCAACTGCTCAAGCTCTACCAAACAATTCTCAGCTTCATAATTCAGATCACAGTCTTCATCTAAAACACTTTGCACAAACTCCTTATCATTGTCGCCTATTGCATTAATTAGCTTTTCCATTTGCACCGTCAGTTTTTCTGAATATGTTTTCAAAAGGCATTTTGATTTATGTATTTCTTTGACACAAATATAAGGATCAATTTCACTTACTTCTTCATTTAGAAGCTCATTTGCTTTCTGTAATTCCTTTCCCAAAGTGTTTCGATATCTTGTTCTAACTCCTTTAAGTGAAGTAACACTTGCCATTTTATACAAGGAAAAGTTAACTTCACGAACACAATAATTTTAAATAGAATCTTTCAAATAGAATATCGACGACTAACAATTTAATTTATCCTTTTTCTTTCACAAGTTTGATCTAAACATTTTCACAATCACTTTTCGTATCCGGTTCGCGGGACCATTTTCAATGTAGCGAATTTTCAACACCTTTGAACTACATTGAAATAATACAAACACTTTAAATCCATTTTTATCACTTTTAATTTTTCCTTTTCAAAACTCCAACATTCACAATTTAGTAATTCCAATTCTTTTCACATCCACTTTTGCAACCACTCTTTTTTTACTATAACAACTGGCTATAACACAATTACATCAATATATATAGTAGCTAAATTTTAGCGCCAAAAGAACTTAATAATACAAGAAAAGCATGATAATCGTGAACATTTGTGAACATGTGATATTTTCCCACCAAAATTAAATAAGGAGCAAAACGGAGTTAAGGTTTTATAGATGATATTACATAAGCAGAAATACTCAATAAAAAACACGTGAAATATGAGAACTTATAGTAAGTTACATGAAATAAACATGTTAGATTCGCGCCAAACTTATGAAAGGTGATAAACTAAATTTAACAAAAGAACATCGCTAGATATTAGCGACATTGTATAACAATACATACGCGGTACAAATTGTGTCAGCATAAATGTACATATCTAGCGAACACAGTTATAAAAAATTACTGAACTGTGACTTACGTTTGTATTTTGACAGTATTTACATAAAACATATATACATCGTCATGGATTACCTTGAAAACGTCAACGGCTTCAAATTTACTTAAATTTACTGCTAATTTAAAATTTTTCCCGATTTTTAAAAAAGGTAAACTGTCTGGCGTATAAATTAAAAACATGTTAAAATTTTCCCTTTGGGTATTACGTCAAAGAATTTTTATATTTAAAATTCAAATTAAAAGGGAAAAAATGTGCTGGTTCCCAACGTTGTGAGAATTTTTGCCCTTTTTCAAGATTGTTGTAACGCAATCTACGATATTTCAGCCATGCTACTTTTGGTCACTTCTGGAGCGTTTCTGATACAATATCTTGTCATCACCGCTTTTTAATCTGGTTTGTCATCTAAACACAAGTTGTCTTTAACATCTTATGGTTGATTTTGTTTTTTTTTAAGAAAAGATAAAAATCTCAGTTGTTGCCATATTAATGTTGCTTTGCAGTTATATATCATTATTTTGCTCCGTCTGTGAATTATATATCATTACGTTGCTCCGTCCGTGAATTATTAGCAACACAAAATTTACTCACCTTCATAATTGTCGTTAGCAAGCTATTTATTTGCGTATGTCATCATAATTTACACTATATATTCATGTAAAAGTATCCTATGATGTCACAAAATTAAAACGAAAATGTCGTAAAATTACAACTTTTAGCAACTTATTTTTTCGATTAGCTGTCGTCATGAAATCAAAGTGCTCCGTGATTCGTTGATCATGTTGCCATGGTGATCGGCGCGTTGCGAATATTTTTTCTATCATGTTTATAAATTAAGTAATATGTAGCAGATAAATATTTTAGCAAAATATTCAATCAACTCGGAAAGGCATGGTCTAGTATTTTATCAAAAATTATTTATTCTAAACGATAATACTAGTTTAATAACATGAGAAATGCAAATGCTGACTTTATATACATACTCACGCCGACTGTCATTAGAATAAATAATCAAAAGGTACTCGGTCATCAATGTCTAGTTCTGATCGCATACCGTACAGCGCCCAAAGAAATATATATATATTACAACAAAACAGTCGCCAATATTGCACGGCACGTCAGAATGATCCTAGCCTTACAAGCCTCAGATGTCAGACTAAACTTATACCAGGTCGTATATTAATGACTGGTGCAATTGTAGGCCTTGTAAGCCTTCTTCAAGTTATTGTCTTCTAATAATATCCCTAGTGAATCTTGCAATGTAAACACTAAAAATACGAATTTTTCGTACCAGGAAATGTAAAACAATTATTAAAAGCAACCACAATCCATAGGTAGGGGGATTACATTTACATTTTGCATTGCTTATAATGTCAAATACTATGATATCACACATCAATGTAATCCTCTAATGTTTTCAAGCAGATACTTGCCATTCATAGTTTACATATGATGGTAGATAACTTCAATTAGATAAATAATTAAATTTTCTTAGGAAATAAATAATATCTAAAGTTAAGTATAAAATGATAAAAAAAACGTCATTTAAAGACGTTTTCGGTAGTTTTCTGTGCGCCTCGTTATGCGCATCCAAGAAAGATAATCACGGATAATTACTCTTCAAATGAAGGTAAAGTTGAATAGTATAATCGGATAAGTGTTTAAATTTCGGCTATAAGCAAATAATGAGTAAATAATACAGAATAGATATTTCTAAATGTTCAAAAGGAGATTGGTTCAAAAGAATAAGAAAGTCGTTTAGACAACATCACATAAAGTATTCCTCCAAGCATTAGTACGACAGCATTGATGATAATTCTGCGCGCGTTACCCCACCCACTTGTGGTACAGTGACAAAAGTGCGTCGCGACTTGATTACTGGCAGACAACTGGGCAAAGAAGTTAAAAATGATATATTTTAAAAGTGTTGAATAATAAAAAAAAAATTATATCCAAGAAATGTTCAGAATTTCATTATTTTCTTTGTAAATTTCTGAATACTTGCTTACTTGCTTACTGTTCGGGTATGTTAGTCGAGTGAAAAAATAATATGGCCCTAGATATGTTTTTAAAAAAAATTCAGTATCATTTACTTAATATAATATCAAAATAAAAAATAATTCTTATTACAACAGGTTTTATATTTGACAATACATTTGGTATAACACTGATATTTTTAAGAAAGCGTGGAAATTTGACAGTTGGCATATGCGGTAATCATGGAAAAATGCCCGTTACAAAAAACTAACACTTCAAACAATATATATTTTATTTCTATTTTTTGAATCCACAATCAAATGTTACTTGATATATCAATAATGTAGAAAATTCTATAAAAGAAATTTCTTGATAGCTTTAATTTTTTTACAGAAAATTTTCATGTTTATTTTTCTCATTTTTGTTTAGTTAAAAAGCATTGAAAACTAATTTTTTAAAGAAAATATGTCCAAATTATCGTTTTTTTTTTATACAGAACCCTAAGATAAAGCAAGCTTTGTATAAAATTATGTTTATTGTGAGTGTAATAAGCTATTTATACATTATTATAATACAGTTGGGATATTTTGACAATTTTTGAGATATACGGTTACCATGGAAACTGCAATTTTTCAAAAAATCCAACACGCCAACATATATTTTCTTTTCTTTTTTTGAATTTGTCATTAAATTTTACACAATATACAAAAAATTAGAAAATTCTATGAAACACTTTTTTCAAATATCTCTAATTATTCTGAAATTCATGTTCATTTTTCTCATTTTTTGTTCGGTTGAGGAACATGGAAACTCATTTTTTTAAAGAAATATGTTTCAGAGTTTATCATTTTTTTCAAACAGAATCATTAGGTAAGGTTATCTTTTGCATAAAACAATGCTCGTTGTGTGTTTTAAGCTATCTTATACATTTTTCTATTCGTTTATAACACAGTTGGGCTATTTTTACAGTTTTTAGAAATATACGGGTTACCATGGAAACTGCCATTTACAAGAAATCCAACACTTCAACATATTTTTTTTATTTTTATTTTTTAAATTCGTCATTTAAATTTTACTCATCATACAAAAATTTAGAAAATTCTATGAAAGGGATTATTTTTTCATAAAACTGTAGAAAATGTCTTTAACATTATTTTATGATGCAACAGGTTTAACGTTAATGTGTGTGCGTTTTTAAAGGAGTCTATGACATCTCGACCCCGACACCTCGACCCCTAACACCTTACCCCTAAGACATCTCGACCCATGACATTTAGACCCCTATGAACACTTAGACCCCTTAAATTGACTGGACATTTCGACCCCTTATTCTATTATGTATTTGAATACGTTCACTTCGAGAACATTATGTGCATAAAGACGAATATATAGAAAAAAAAGTTTATTTGTTAACAAGTTGGTTTATTATATATTATCTAAAAGATATGCTGAATAATAAGTGAAATCATATCGAGGCGTTATTTGTAATCCAAAGTTAAGTAAAGAAAGACTCGTATACTACATTTCAACAAAGAAAGTATAATATATTATGTAATATATGTATGCATAATATCAGAAATAACAGTAATTGCAATAGAAATTGTAATCAGTTTTTATTATATAAATAATCGTTCAGTCGTTTTGTAATTCCCCTTTTCCTAAGCAAATATTGTCATTATGTACATGTGCCACTTGTTAATTTATGTTAATCGAACATACTATAGCAGGAAATCGTAGGCATATTGGTTCTTTAAATTACTTATATTTAAAGAAAATAGAATGTATATATGAAATAAAACTATAGGATCTAGGGATGTTATTATGAAAATTTATTAAGTATCAAGAACTTTCTTATCGCTACAAATCAATAGTAAATCGTATCAAATTACGAAAAGTAACAAAACACTTCCGAAAATTCATTCTTACTCAGGTCAATTTTGCCAAACTGTAAAAAGCAATAATTAAAAAAAATCCTTATCTGGCACCTTGAATTTTACATATAACAATTCCTTTCTCATCCAGAAAACCCCGTTGAAATCAAATGCAGCTACTGTTTATTTGTGGTGATTGGCAGAATGTTTATCACGGGTGTAATTCCCCCGAATAATTAAATTACCTATGACCACTTGGCGGAAATGTATTTGGCACGCGTTTTTCAAACACACCATTTTAGATTAAAGTGAAAAATTTAGTGGAACGTGTAAATCGACTTTAAGATGTCAAACTAATTTCGTAACTTATTGTTAAAAATATTGCTTTTAAAGCTTATTATGGCAATATTTCACTCAATTTTTGAGAGAAAAAAAT